GGGGAAAATAAAAAGGCATTTAAAATCATGGAACTTTTCTCTACTACCATTGGCACAATGTCATCTTCCATACTTCAGACATATTGTCTCCCATCCCTGGAGCAGGACATCCTGCTGGGTAAGTGGAGGGGAGTGAAAACCAGGAAGGCCCTGCAACAACTGGGCTGACACAGTGGCTGCAGCGAAGGGCTCGGGTCCAGGAGCAGTGGTGAGGGTGAGGCGGTGCTTCTGCTGGGCGGAAGGTCACTGTGGTTAGAGCCAACTCCACAGCACCTGACAACCACAGCGGTATTGGAATGATGACATGTCCCACGGAAGTTATTTATTTCTCAAGCTGAAATGCTGTCTCTAAAGCGGACCAGGGGTATACATAAACTTGAGATGCACAACTGGATCTGGAGCTCACACTTCATTGTAAACGCTAATCTAGGAACAATTAGCTCTTACACGATGGCCTTGCTCAATACTTGTTCTCATGGAGTCATCGCCGAAGGCCAAGTGTGGTGAAGAAATCATAGGGTGCCCAGCTATCCGAAAGAATAGCATCTGAGTTCTGAAAGCCACCAAGGGCCACCGAAGTGAGGGAGCAGCTAAGGTCACACAGAAGGAACACCCTAATCTGTGTGATCCAAGGATTGTAAATAACCCAAGAACAAAGGAGGGAGTTAAAGTAGAGCTTATATTCTGAGCATCTGTTTGCAGAAGGGTGTAAATGGCAGGGAAAGCCCAAAACCCATTTGCAGAGCTGTGATCGAATAAGCCTTCATGGAATTCCCTTGGACTATTGACCAGGGATGTGAGTCGTCCTGCCCTCAGCGTGCACTGGAAAGAGGATTACTGCAGATACAGTTCAGTTAAAACTTAACATGCTATCTTTCCCCCCGTCACTTTTCACCCATTTTTAATTTGTTCTAGTTTCTATCTGCTTTCACTTAGATTTTTTTCTGTTTTATTTTGTTGGAATTGTTGGGGTTCTTCTATGGTTTTTTTTACATGAAGTCCAGGATAGGTAAATCAATAGACAATGACTAGATTAATACCTCCTTAGGGTTATGCATGGCATGGGAGGTTGGGGGTAATGGAGGGCTAATAATGACTGGTACAGGAATGATGAAGATACTCCTCATTCTGATTGGGGTGATGGCTGCACAACTCCTTTTA